TAATTTCAGTATGAACTATTGATTACTAGCAAATGAGTATCATCTTGAATCAGCTTCTAATTTCATAAGTCCCAAGAAAAAGTTATACAAATATAACAATTCAAAATAAAGACTAAACTATCTAAGTAGGCTAGCCACCATTATGGTTACCTTACAAACTTTAGTTATACCTAAACATCATGATGGTTTGAAATAATATAATATCAACTATTTATAATCTATAATTTTTATTCAATCTAAGTTATACAGCACTATAATAATAAATAATAATAGAGATAATTCCTTTGCAAATAATTTACATACGCTATAGAGATAAAACTGCTGGCACTTTTCATTTAGTAAAAGAAAGGTCTTGCTTTTTTGTTGGGGACGAATAAAGTATGTTTTCAAGAAGAAAATAAATGTTATCTATATGCGGAAAAATCAAGAAAAATTAAATTTTAGATGTATATTTTTTAATAAAAATTCTATTTTTTATAATTTAAAATCTAATTTTTCTAATTTCTTTGCCAATTCTGTGAAAAAAAAAAATTTACATTCTGTGTGGTATTTGCCTTATTAATACTTTTTTTTTTTTTTTAAGTAAATAACTGTTTTTAATTTTTAAAGATATTTTCTTAAAAAAAAGTATAAAGATGATAAGACTAAATATAGTTGCCTGGAAAAATCTCGGGTCACTGGCAAAACTATAATTATAAGTTATTATGTGATTTTATGATGTTGACTTAATATTATGAAGAGAAATCCATTATCATTCTCTATCTCGTCATTTATATTAAATTCATTAAAAGAATGGAAGAACCACTTTTTAAAAACCACAAAAAAAGGTAAATTGTTTTTTATTAACATAATTAACAAACTTTATTTTTAGACGAATTATACTTTTTAAAAACATACTGGAAAGAAAGATTCACATTAAATAAAATTGTTGTGTAAATCTTTCTTAGGACGAGTCTGACTTGTCCATAAATTGAAATTAGGAGATTCTATTGCACATTTCATTTGCAAATTTTGCAATCAATTATGCTAATTCTTTACGTTAGTCATTTAGTCATTTCCGCAATTACATTGAATCATCGCAAAAAGAAAAATGCTGAATTCGATTTTGGGAGATGAATTTACTACAGAACAGATAAAATCAAACGATTGATCAAATATGTTTTCGCAGCACGCTAACTTAACTTTTATTCTTCTTTTCATTATGAATTAAAATGTCATATATGATCATAAAAATCCAATTTCTTAGTTTAGTAATTCAATTAAAAAAGATAACTATTAATAATGTATTAATAATTCAATCATATATCAATCAAAAATTGATTCGATTTCAACAGAAATTTTTATGACATCTCGTTTCACGAAATTTTTTTGCGATGGTCGCTCCGGGATTTTGTCTTTATAAAAATCTTTGTTTAATAAATTACCGCGTTTATGTTCATTAGAAAATATAAGACTTTAAAAATGGCAGTCGTTATTATATACTTCTCATGAGTAAAATAATTTATAAATTGTTTCGGATTACAATTGTCCGAAACGCAAAATCACTGAAATTAATTCATTTTATGTTTCCAAGTATACATTACCTCATACTAGGGTGTTATACTGACTAATTAATCAAAACTATATCAGCTAACTATAAAAATTTATATATTGAAGATTTATATAGTTACATAACACTCAAATTAAGTTTCTATAATTAGTTGGTTGAAGGAAATTTTGATAGATCAATAGCAATTCATTAATTAGTACACTTCAAAATGATTCACTGCATTATTTAAACGTCAATTTACCTTCAAATTTCACAGCAAGAATATATATAGTTTAAGAACAAAGTTACGTTAAGAAATTTCGTTTTGTAAAAAAAAAATTCAAGATTTGACCTTAAAAATCTAAAATTTTTTGTAAATATTGATTTTAAAAAGGAATATTCAATCAATTTTTAAAAAATTAACGTAGTTACTTTTCAAAATATCAAAAATAGATTGATTTACAAAAATATACAACATTTGCGATAACTAATATTTAATGTTCATTTATTCTAGATTTTTTTTTTTAATAAAAAAAAGCTCACGAATATATAGTATGAATGTTATGGAATTTTATTAACTTTCAACGAAAGAATCAAGCAAGGCTAGTTTATCTTCCGGAATTTCGGTAACGGAGGATATTATCTTTCGAAGGGAGGAACGGAATTCCTCAATACATTGATGATGTACGATGACCAAAGAGTAACAGCATTTCTCCTTGAGATCGTTATGTAAAATGATCTCGAGACGTGTAAAATCGTCCTCTTTTAAGTATTTCTTGATTTTTGTAGAAAAGATTTCGAATTTACTAAAAAATTGTTTGAAAAGATTAAGGATATTTTGCTCAAACTTAGATTCATTTAGACCGATAATAATTAAAAGCCGTATCAGACGAAGGATAATTGTCAAATAATCCTGTTCTTTACAAAACAAAAGGTCGAGAAGCTGTTGAACTTGATCAATCGTATTATTGATTGCAGACAGATAGTTCTTTCTGCTATAAGTATATCGATCTGGAATGAGTGGTTTCGCAGTAAATGATTCAAAGTAATTAATCAGATAGGCTCGAGGAAGACACAAATCACAATATTTTTGACCAACTGCGAAAATCAAAGAAGTTGTAAATTCCACGAGAGATGTAAGATCTCCAAGAGATTCGGATGAAACCAGGTTGACTTGTTTAATATTTATTAAGGCATAATTAATAAATGACTTTGAACTTATTATTGCGGAAATCACTTTATTATTATAAAGAAAAGAGAAAAATTGCGAGAGATATCTTCCAACTGGAATCGCTTGATAATTTCCACAGTAATATTCAAACCCAATGGTCAAATCGTTAGGGTGTGCAAGTACTTTTGTTTTTGACATCTCCCGATTGAACCCTTCGATAACCGTTTTTTCACGCAGCTGTTGAATAACTAACATGTATTTTAACATAACATCAAAATCGTTAGCATTCTTGGACTTATTAAATAACCTTGTCTTGTAAGCTTCATTTATAAGACCATCACGAACGTGAATAGGAAGATTGGCAAGAGCCATGTAAGTAACATCTGGGCAGCTTGTATACGGTTATTGATAACGTATATGACATTCAACGAGATTCTCAGCCCACAAATTTTGTAAATCATACAAAGAAGTCCGTGACGGTATAATACATCCAACTGTCGCACACAGTGTATTGGAGTCTTGCAAGTTTCTGGCGTCGGAACAGAAGGAATGGTGTCGGAGTTACGTGATGCATTTGGCAATTTGAATTTCGACAATTACCCAATGACGCAAAATTATAGCAGATTATCGAAGTTATATTCGGATTATCTTTACCATCCTGACCGACTTTCGAAACACGATCGTAGATATATGTGATAAGGAACTTCGTAATTGTCTGATGCACAACATCAACGTCACAAATCATCCAACTGTCTGTAATTGCTTCATTTTTATGCTTGAAGTTCATAAGGTAATAAAGAGGGTTGTAAAAGAAAATTTTCAGTTTCTGAGGGTTTTGTATTTTTCCGAAAAAAATATCCATGAATTCTTTCGAGATTTTTGTAATGTCATCATTTTTTTGTGGGGTCATATAGGGAAAGGCCAAATTACACAATCTCAGCAGGCATTGTAACCTTTCATCCAATAATTGATATTAATTTCGGATGGTGAGGGAATCTGCAGCCACATGATTATTGCAATAATCTCAGTGGAAAGCACTTGATTCTTCATAAAAATTGTCTGCACTCATGGAATTTATTGAGATTCTTGTTTGAATAAAAGATATATAACCGAGATTCTTCCATCAGAATCTTCGATAGTTCAGTTGGAATTATAATTTTTGAGAGACTCGGCCGCTTTGGTTTGAAGCCTATTCAATTCCTGCATGGTACTTAAGCTTGTGAAATCTGTAAATATCTCTTTCAGTACGTTAATTCTGCATAGTCGTAATAAGTACTGAGTAGCATCATTTGTATTCTCGTCATCATCAACTGAACGATTTAGCATATCAGCGGCCTCTTCGAACTTATCATGCGAATGTAGTATTTTGAAAGTGGATATTGAGATTATGGGTCGTCTCATCACTGATATCTTGTTTGTACCTTGTTCAATAGTTTGGATAAGAGTTACAAACTTTTCATTTTATGAATTGAAAGATCCTTACTATGCTTACCTCTGAATTAAATCATTTACCATATCATAAAGACAACCATCTTTATAAGTAAGAACTGCATCATCATAATTCTTCGCCTTTACAAAATACCCACTTGCTTCGTTCCACATCCTAATCTCTCGATAACAACACGCGGCATCCCAAACATTTTTGATTCAGAATAAAGTTCACCAGCTTCTCTAAACATGTTAATATTCTGAAAGGATTTGTAAATTTGTAAATATCTAAACTAGATGTATGTATTACACCGAATAATCACATAAACCAAGGCTATGGGGTTGGAATATCTATGATAAACCATACCTCATAACAAGAAACCGCGTGTGGCAATCGGGAACATTCTCCAAAGGCACTAGCAGCTTTTGTGAAGTTGGCCTCTATAATTGTGTCATCGTCATCGGTTACGAAGGAAGTCCTGGCTAACTGTTGAAGATGATATGCATAGGCTAATTTTTCGCCTTTCCCATTTCCACTCCTTTTGAAGCAGAAAATAGCCTAGGGGATTATGTCCATTGAGAAACTCAGCTTATTATTATATACATACACTGAAAAATTTTAAAGAGTTTACCTGTTCATACTTCCGTTGCTCAAAAAACGTCCTTCCTTCACAATTCCACTGTGATGGGACTACTTGACTTAGTCAAGGTAAAGATGTCGATTTTATCCGTTACTTTTACTAGCTTTTAGTGTCTCCAGTATTTCCGAATTGGCTCATTATTCTCGGAATTTTCATCAAAAATCCAGAGATGTTCTCTAGCTCTGGTTATGGAGACATGAAGATGTTTAAGCTCTGAGGAAAGGATATAATGTTTATCGGGATAGAATATGCGGATCCACCAGAATAGTCTTCCAAGTCTGAGAGAATTACTCGCCACTAAATATGATATAAATATAATCTGAGTGGCTTTTAATAATCGACTAGATCGTGCTTTAAAACAAAAATTTATATTATCATACATGTAAAAGTGCGGGCAAATCGGTAAAGAAAGCATACAATAACATATCATTAAACTCCATCCCTTTGGCCTCGAATACAGTTAAAACAATCCAATATCGCAGTTTAGATTCTTCACACGCTGTTTAGCCTTTTCATTACGTACGATAATGACCTGATCAGCTCCAAATTTAATAAATGCATCTTCATTTTCGATATCATTTTTATAGGCAAATAGATTTTCTGCCTGACAACCCTCAAAGATAATAGGTTGTGGACCACCGATCTCACTGAGTTCAGGTGATAGATTGTCAATTGAATTAGGAAAGAATTTCTGAAGGAGGTAAATTACTGAAGGTGCTAGTCGAAGGATCCCTCTATGGGAACGGGAATTAATGTTTAGTTCGAACTTTTTTGGTTTATAGGAACTATATCGATTGTTTTCGGTCAAGACTCGTTTGTGTTCCCATTGGTGAATTAATGAGTATAAGTCTATTTATTCTTAAAAAATTAGAGTTATGAAAATGAAACGTAATTGCTAATCTTGGATAAAAAAAAACGCATACCCTCGAATCGAAAAGTAGACCCTCGGGCTATACATTGTGCCACATCACCTGCCATGAAAAAGTTGTCGGCGCGGTCAAAAAGTTTCAAAATAAGCATGTAATCTATGATATAGTTATCTTGACATTCGTCAATGTACACTTACGTATATGCGGCCCACCAAATGTTCTAGTTTTGGTTGCACGTAATATGGATTTAGTTCTATAAAAAGAATTGAAAATTTATTAACGTTTATTCAAAACTAAAAAAAAATTTACACGAACTTTACCTGTCCACTGAATCAAAGTCATAATTTTGCGCCTTATCCTTCTCATATCGCTCAAATAAATCATTAATCTCATCACGATTGTGAGTATATGCTGGGTATTTCCTGTTACTAATAGACCGGTATTCTTCTCTTGATAGATAATCCACCCCAATATTCGTGCCCTTCAGATTATTTATTGAAAAACTTTATAAACGTCAAACACACAGTTTACATGCGTATAATTGATTTATATTTACATATTTGATAACAGAGAACTCTGAGTAGACCAGCTCGCAATCCAGCTTATTTCTTCAATCATAACCGAAACGAGGCCAGTACTTTTTTTCGAACAGATCATAATTAACAAAGGTAGCCCACGAAGCTTTTGACAAGTTTGTAAAGGGAGACCTATAGTGAGTCACCTCCTCCTCATCATTATTATCATTATCTTCATCGTGTTCTTGTTGATGTCTTGTGGTCAACTTTCGAGTGTCAATGCCGTATGTCCCCTGAAGCATTTCAAAAAACTTTTCGTGAGTAATAAATAATGGGAAATGTTGGTCCGTCAGCAGAAGGAACGAGTTTGGAATTTCACCCAGGGTTTTAACCTCATCATATTGTCATCAAGCGCTTTATTACTTCCGTATTCCTTCTTCCATTCAATGAATTGAGCCTTCGAAATCGTTTCTCCAGCAAGCTCCGCTGATTTTTGCATTTGGTTGAAGTATTTCTTTACTCGCATGCATAAAATGGGGTTCAACGTAATAAATATTTGTCTTTTGTAAAAATACTCGTCAATGCCATGCGAAGTTGGTGTCTTATAAAGTTAGCTTTCCAGATATGAAATGAGCTGTATAAGTATGAATTCAGTAGTCTTGCCAGTCCCTAAATACTTGACATTTAGAATAAAAACAACAAAGACCGCAAGTAAATAATGGCCGAAACTAGATTACTAACACGATCGTCCAAAAATGACAGTCGACTTAGGATGCTTAATTATATCGTACCCAGTCTTAGATACTTGAAAAGTGAAATCAGAGCCACTCAAAATGAGCGACTTGAATGAATCCTGAGAGAAATTATTAACTTTAAAATTTTTTTCGTCAAATAATTAATACGTATATAACGGGTAGCATACTTTACCTTTGATATAGGAATAAATTTATTTGTACAAACATTTTATGAACTTCTAATAGCCACTCGTTGTCCAACACTTCGTTGATGAACTTTGCTACCTCAACCTCATCATTTTTAAAATATTTCGGTAAAATGAAATTATCTTGGTCTTGAATTGCGCAACGATTAATATGTTCGGAATTGTAAATCTTATAAACTTTTTCAAGGATTTTTAATCTCGTGTAAATCTGTTCTTGACTTGCAGTGACGGCCCATACCTTTACATGTTGCATGAATAAACCTTTACGGATAGAGAATCCATAATCAACTTGCCAGAGAATTTTCAAATTGTTGTCAGGGAGCTCTACTTAGTAGACCGGAATATCGATTAATGACGCTCTACGTTGAAAACCATACTTTTTCCACTTTCCGGATGATATCTGGCCGAGATTTTCATGATAGTTTCAATAGTGAGAGGTAACTCTACTTGCATATCTTTGAAGTCTTCATTATACATTTCCCGTGAATCTTTGATCGTGTTTCACTGAGCAGAATTTCCCACGGTCCAAGTTCGTCAGTATCGAATGGTAAGTGAACATAACGTCCATATGTCTTATTTTCGACATTTCCTTGAATTCTTTCCTCCATATATAAATAAATATATACTTTTTTTTTTTTTTTAAAAATAAAAAAAATAAAGCTTAAAGAACCTATAAATAATAAATTTATGTTAAGTATATTTGGCTTAACTTAGAATGAGGAAATTGGTTGACAATTAAATATTCTTTTTGTTTCTGTGTAATTTTTTTTTTAATTAGAATTTAAAAGAAAGCACAACCGAAAAAGAGACGATCTTCAAATTTGTTAATAAATAAATATATGGTCTGCCGCAGCATAAGTTTAACGGCGGCGCCTGATATAATATTTCAATTTTAAGCGAACTAATATACAGGTGCATTGTCTAACCATAAATAATTGCGAATTTTCCTTCTTTTACCTTGTGATTCGATACCAACAATAGCTAGTTCGTTAATTTATTGCACCTCATACTAATTTCAATATAAAATTTTTAAGTTCTTTTCCCATATAGTCCTTTTCCATTTTCTTCCGCTGGAAAGTAGGAGTAGCATCCGACTATCTAATTCCAATGCTAGTGTGAATTTCGAGAGTTTTGATGATATAAAAATAAATATCTTTTTTTTCAAAACGATAAATGACAGAAAACACAATGTTAGAAAGTATATTCCTCCGCTTCCGAGAAGAAAGTGTAATCGTAAGCACATTTGAAATTCAATTATGGATAAAGATGGATAACGATTTAAAGTCAAATTGGTGATTGGAATAAGTTAAATTTTGCAGTAATTAAACCTTACTTATTTTTAAACTTTTTAAGAAATATACGTTAAAGAATTTCTCGAAGTACACTTCTTTATGTTAAATAAACAGGTCGTTTTTAATAATGAATTACGATTTTTGTTGCATAAATTAAACTTTTTATTGAAAAACTTGAAAAGTAATAATATGTATGATGCATTTCGCTTAGGCCCATTATATCAAAATTTAAGTTAGTAAAGAAAGATTCTATTTGTTGTAATTTAACGTTTGATGAACAGTTTCTAATATTGTGAGTAACAATTGAAAGAAAGTTTGGATTATTATAAAATGTCGAAATAGGGGTTTGAATTAAAATTATTATTATTATTAGGACATGACGAAGTCGTTCCTATTATATTATATTTTTTGTTGTTATTAATCATTTAGAGATATCAGTCGTAGGTACAAATTGCTGTATCACAGTAGTAATCGATTGGAGTTGAGAGCCAAAGTTAACGAATATGTCTTGTATTTGATCAATGCGAGAAGCAAGGATCTCAACTTGTTGTGGGTTATTAGAAACTTTTTGATTATTATCTGTATCCATTAAAATAGTATTTGATGTTGGGGGGTATAAACGTGAGATTTGGGTTGTTAGATTTGGGAGTCATTACTAATATTTTGATCATTGGGGGTCATTTCATTATTATCTTAATCTGGAATATCTGTATATATTTTGAGCCTTATGAGATGATGATCAATATCTCCTTGATTTCGTCGTTTAATAATAACTTCTTCCTTGATATCATTAAATATTTCAGATAATACTTTGAATTTATTTTCTAAATCTTTGACTTTTCTAATCAGCGTGAAAATTCAGTGTTTTCTAGAAAGGATGTAGATCTATTTTGTGTATTGTTGGATAATGGTTTGCCATTAGTAGGTAGTTTAAAATAAGTAGCTTCAGCATATTATATACTGTTTGGGTATTAATAGATATACGAGGATGCAAAGATCTGTATTGTTCAGGTTTGAAACGTTTATAAAGAGGTTTGTATAGATTAGAAGAGTTCTACTTTGAACAGTTTTTGAATTTATGGTCAGATGATCCACATTTTTTACAATATTTGTTTGCAGGATCCATCCAATGTAGAACATTTCCTTTGAACTTATAATGTTGAGCAGCTGTAGCATTTAAATCTTCTAAAGTGACAAAGATAACAAATGCATAAGGTCTTAGCTAATATTAATGATCTTTTGAAATAAAACATGATTTAGCTTTAATTTGAATTAGAAAGTCATGTAAAGAGTGTTGGTCAGTATTTAATGAGAGACCAGTAAGTTTGAGCTCAAATTATTATCATAATATAATTTGCATTAGGTCTAAGTTGATCAGTTATACTCAAAATGAACTCTAAAAATGTAACTAATCAAATATTATTATAGAATAGTTTGATTGCATCACAGCTTTCATAGACAATGAATGCGATCTGCATGATCCTTTGATGATCAAGAAGAAATAGATAACAGTTTTCTATTTAGCAAAAAATTTTTATATAATATCAGATTTAAAAAATAGGGAAATGTCAAATACTATAATAATATAACCTTTTTCTACATCTATTTTTAATTGTTTAGCATTATGATCAACAAGCAAAAAAATCAGATTATGTTATATTTTCTGTACTTTTATAACATGTGTTAAACTTTCTAAACTATCAAAGTAGATGATAAATTTTCTATTTTTAGAAAGATAGTTAGATTCTTAAAACCCATTAAATTAAATGAAAAATGCATTAATAAATTTGTGTTTTTTAGCAATTAATTTCCTTTTATGTTATTTATATTATTCATAATGTAAAAATGTAAAAATATGTAAATGCAGTTATGATATTGAATTATCAATTATTTGCATTTATATTACTAGAGGAAGAAGCTTTAGCAACATCTATTTTATTTGACTAAATTTACTTATTTTTTCCTTTAGATATAAAAGTTGTTTTTGCTGATTTTGGTTCATCAATATAGTTTTAATTTTATTATTTAGCATTTATAGAGTCTTTTATAATTTAAAGAAGAATTTATTATACTTTTTTCATAGAATTAGTAGTTGAGGAAATAATGTTATCTATTTTCATTTTAAAATTGTTAACTGTTTCTTTATTTATTATATTAGAAGGTATTACTAAATTAGTATTAGTGGTTAGAATAATATTTTCAATAATTTTAGTAATATTTTTAGAGAAAGAGAGTTTTATTTTTTTAGAAGTGATTTTTGTTTTTTGTTATATTTTTCAAAAGTTTCTAATAAAGTTTGTTCATTAGACTCTATAAATGAATTCGTAAACTGTTTGTTACTATTTTAAATTAATATCATTTATTATTTTTTAAAATATAAGAAGTTTATTTATTGTAGTTATTTGCTTTGATTTTAGGTATAATAGTTGTAAAAGAAAATTTGTGCTAATCATATTCAAATCCAAATACTCAATCCAGAAAAATTTGAGAAAAACTGAAAATAATTATTTTAAGGTTTATCATGAAAAAGTTTCAAGAAGGTTTGAATACACTGGTCGAAAACAAAAAAATTGGACATACAAAAATTCAGCCTAAATTCAGCCTAAATTTAGCAAATTATCAAAAAATTGGCCTAGCCGATTGGCATACACTAAAAATCAGCCAAGAATTGGCTGAAATTTGACCTATCCTATTTATAGCCGATTGATATACTTATTACCAATTGATATATGTCAAAATTGGCTAAAATTTGATTTATCTTATTTATAGCTGATTGACGTCTAATTTACATCTGATTAATATACATCAAAAATCAGCTAAAATATTTCAAATAAAATAAAATTCAGAAGTAAATATAACTGATATTTAGGATTAATAGCCAAATAATGCTAAAAACATTTAATTTATTTTTACAAATAGTATTTTCTATTAATTGGATTAATAGCTAAATATTCTTTTGCATTTCGTCAAGCTGAAATTCAATAATTAATTAGTACAAATTGACTCAAAATATGATAAACTAATATTATATAATCACGACTTTTCAGATAAAATTTAGTATCCCATAATTTGACATTATATGTTTCTTCTTCGCTAAAATAATATTGCATATTTAGAGAACTTGCAGATTTATACTAATAAACAAATTCTAGAAAATGTTTAGCCTTTTCAGATGGTAAATCGATCTTATGTGTAAAATAATATTGGACTTGGCCAGAATAACAATTGACTGTACCATCATTTGTAATAAATTTAGCCAAAATGTATGAATTTTTACATGTTACAAAGATATTAATAATCTAAAGATTTCAGAACCAATTTGGCATCTTTCAAATTAATTCATTTTAACCTGAAATATTATACCATCTTTTGAATCTTTATCAAATAGCTTCCTAAAATCAAACATGATATAAGTCATATTGTAGTATTTAACTACCAAATCAAGCATTTCACTTGAAATAATTATATTATCAGATGATGGTTTGAGGAATTTGCTGAGAAATAGTTCACTACTAATAATATTTGATTTCTTAATATTTCATGAATTCATCCAAAATTTATGGATTTCGTCAGAAGAAAATTTGTCTGTATCTGAAAGAAAACCAATTGAAGGCTGATTATCTAGCAATTCAAGCCCTTTTACCTCAATATCACTGAAACTTATAATACTGTTATTTTAAATATCAAACATTAATTGATACATTAGCTTAGATTCAATTTTTCTATTACTATTCAGTAAAAAACCTAAAATTGTTCATAAATTAATAAGCTGATTTATTCAAAAAATTCTTAAAAAAAATACTTAATATTTCATTTATGCATTCAAAAAAAAACACTAAAACACATATAACAGACCATAGTCTCTTAAGCAATCATACAAATAAAAAGAAAAGTGAAAATTTAGCATAATTTTGTTATGCCTATTGTGACAGGTAAAATTTTAGATAGATTTAATTAGTAGAATAGGAAGTCAATTTTATTGCCATATAGATCTTCTATGAAGATCATTTTGTCCATTTTATTGCCATCAATCAATTATGTAAATCCTTAAATGTCAATTTTATTGCCTTTGATAATCACGTAGATCATAGATGTCCATTTAGTTGCCTGCAGATCTGGTAATTTTATTGATACGGCAACTTTATTGTCTAGCAAAATGGCAACTTTATTTCCTTCGATATATTT